CAAGCAGACAGGCAGGCACGCAGCAAGAAGTGCAAATGCAACAACGACAACTTTGACGTACTTTTTTTTCCTTTTTGGTTTTGTGATTCAGCGGCTCAAGAAGGGCATTTTCAGGGGGGAGTTTGTTTACAATGAGGATGCATTTCCGGGGATTTGGCAAGGGGGGACAGGCGGACTTTTGTTTGTTTGTGTGATACTTGGCGGATAATGTCAGGTTGGATTTGTCGAGTTCTCGAAGGGAACTGGAAAGTCAGCGGCTCCTGGGTTCAAGAGGGTTTTGGTTGTTTATTGTCTTGTCACGGTTTGGGGTGGTGGAAAACTAGTTAGATGGGGTATCTAGTGAATATATTTGTGCTGTGCTGTATTTGTCCGGGCTGATCACTATGGTGATGGTGTGTTTAGGGGGTTGGTCAATTAATGGTTAGTGGGGCTGCCAGGGAGAAACAGCACGTGGTCTCCTGTCTCTTTCGCGCCTGGGTTGGCTTTGTTAGTGACACGCTTTTGCCACTCAGGCGCGACCTCCTTTGATCAAGAAATCAGATCTGAGATCTGATTGAGTCGTTATCTGAACACACCGGTAAATTCATCATGCCACCAAAAGAGGGGAATGACCTCCAGAGCGGGACTCTGAAAAGGAAAAGAGGCCGGCCTCCAAAAGTTGTTCCTCTTGCAACAGAAGAAGCGACTCCATCACCATCACCAGCCCAGTCCCCACCACCACCATCATCCTCAGATCCCAACAACACCACCAAGCCACCACCGCCCAAACGAAAACGCCAGCCCAAATCAAAACCACCACCACCCTCCCCAGATGTCCCCCCGGAACCGGACATCCCCCTCCCGGGTTACTTCCAGCACCTGGTCAAACTGCACTCCGCCCTGAGCCTCGTCTCGACCTTCCTCTCCACCCACAGCCAGCACCTGCCCCCCACACTATCCAACCTGTCCAAAGCCCTCACGTCCAAAGGGGTCGTCCCCTCCATCGAGGACATCGCCGCTCTCAAGGCGATAACCCCGGGGAACATCAGGTTTGAATACGTCGACCACACCTCCCTCCTGCTCGAAGCCCGCGGGTTCGAAAAGGAGGATTTATTCCGCTCGACGTCCGGGAATGCGAGTATTCCTAGTGAGGATCTGGCTGAACGGGATGAACACCATGATGATGATGATGACGAGGAGGTGCTGGTGTTTGAGTTTGTGGATGGGGGGTTGAAAGGACGGGGGAAGGGGAGGGGGGGAGGTGATGGGGGGGAGAGGGAGGTGGTGGTGATGCCTAGGTATACTCCCAAGCAAGTCATGGGGGTGGTGGAGAGACGGGGGGAGAAGTTTAGACGGGCGGTGCAGGGGTATTTGAGGGGGTGTGAAAACCTGGGGGTGGATCCCGAGATCAGGGTCAAGAGTGAGAGGGTTATCCCCGAGAGGAGCGTTGAGCGGCAGAAGGAGAGGGAGAAAAAGAGGGAGGGGCTGCCGGGGGTGATACCGACGGAGAGGAAGAGCATGCACGAGATTGTGGAGGAGTTGAAGGGGGGGGAGGAGGGGTGGTATACGGGGCAGATCGTGCCGGACGGGCATAGGGTTTTCGAGGCGCAGGAGGCGGTGTATGGCGAGTTGGGGTTTTTGTTGAGTCAGGATTTGGTGAACGCGTTGTATAACGCGAGGGGCATCACGGCTTTTTACTCGCACCAGGCGGAGGCGATGAATGCGCTTCAGGCGGGGTATGATGTTGTCGTGTCGACTTCGACGAGCTCGGGGAAGAGTCTGATTTATCAGCTGCCGGCTCTGCGTGCGCTGGAGGAGGACCCGTTGACGAGGGCGATGTATATTTTTCCTACCAAGGCGCTGGCGCAGGACCAGAGGAGGAGCTTGCGGGAGCTGATGGGGTATATGCCCACCTTGCAAGGGATGATGGTGGAAACCTTTGATGGGGATACCCCGTTCGAGATGAGGAACAGGATACGGGAGGAGGCGAGGGTGATTTTTACGAATCCGGACATGCTTCACCTGACCATCTTGCCTCAGGAGGAGAGGTGGAGGAGCTTTTTGCAGAACTTGAGGTTCGTGGTGGTGGACGAGCTGCATGTGTACAATGGGCTGATGGGGAGCCATGTGGCGTATGTGATGAGGAGGTTGAGGAGGATATGTGCCGCGTTGGGGAACAGGCATGAGCTGAGGTTTGTGAGCTGCTCGGCCACGGTGGCGAATCCGGGGGGGCATTTTGAGACGATATTTGGGATTGAAGAGGGGAAGGTGAGGGTTGTGGAGCAGGATGGGAGTCCGAGTGGGAGGAAGGAGTTTTTGTGCTGGAATACGCCGTATAGAGACCCCGGGGATCCGGCGAGTGGGAGGGGGAATGCGGCGTTGGAGTGTGCAAAGTTGTTTTGTCAGATGATTTTGAGGGGGGTGAGGGTTATTGCTTTTTGTCGGGTGAGGGCGCAGTGTGAGGTTTTGATTGGGACGGTGAGGCAGGAGTTGGAGAGACTGGGAAAGGGGGAGGTCGCGAACAGGGTCATGGGGTATAGAGGGGGTTATACAGCTCAGGATAGGAGGAAGATCGAGAGCGAGATGTTTGAAGGGAAGCTGCTTGGAATAGTGGCCACCACAGCGTTGGAATTGGGTGTCGATATCGGCACCTTGGACTGTGTGATCACCTGGGGCTTCCCCTACACCATCTCGAACCTCCGACAGCAAAGCGGCCGCGCAGGTAGAAGAAACAAGGACTCCCTCTCCATCCTAGTAGGTGACAGCTTCGCAACAGACCAGCACTACATGAACAACCCAGACGAGCTCTTTACCAAGCCCAACGCCGCTCTTCAAGTCGACCTCGACAACATGCTCGTCAAAGAAGGCCACATCCAATGCGCCGCCTACGAGCTCCCCATCCGCCCAGACGTTGACTCTGTCTACTTCGGCCCTGACCTCGCTGAAATCTGCAGCACCCGCCTCCTCCATGACCCTCTCACCAACTTCTATCATACCGCAGACAGATTTCGTCCCCAGCCCTCCAAATTTGTTTCGATCCGCGACACCGAGGAAGACCACTTCGCCATTGTAGACACAACCCACAACCGCAACATCGTCCTCGAAGAACTCGACGCCTCCCGGGCCACCTTCACCTTGTATGACGGCGCCATCTTCCTCCATCAAGGCCTGACCTACCTAGTCCGGGATTTCAACCCCTCCAGCAAAATCGCCCGTGTTGAGAGGGTGAAAGTCTCTTGGACAACGAAGCAGCGTGACTATACCGACATCGACCCTATCGAAACAGAAGCACTCAAGCCCCTTTCCCCCGTTGCTCAGGCCTTTTACGGCTCCATCCGCATCACCCAGACGGTCTTTGGTTTCTTCAAAGTCGACTCTAAGACGAATAAGATATTGGATGCAGTCGCGGTGGACAACCCACCCGTTGTGAGGTTTACAAAGGGAATGTGGATTGACATTCCCCCTTTGGCGCTTTCTATTCTTTCGTCTCGCCAGCTACACGTTGCTGGTGCTATCCACGCTGCTCAGCACGCGTTGATGTCCCTCATCCCCAATTTCGTCGTCTCCCTACCAGGCGACGTGAGAACGGAGTGTAAAAACCCGCTCAAGGAACTTGTCAGCAAGAGGGAAACAAAGAGGAAACGACCGGCGAGGTTGACGTTTTATGATGCCAAGGGTGGGGAGGGAGGGTCGGGGATCAATACCAAGGCTTTTGAGCATGTTGAGATGCTGGTTAGGCAGGCGCTGCAGAGGGTTGAGAGGTGTGAGTGTACAAGGGTGCAGGGGTGTCCGGAGTGTGTGGCTAGTGAGTATTGTAAGGAAGGGAATGAGGTGGTGAGTAAGGTGGGCTGTGGGGTTGTGTTGAAGTGTTTGCTGGGGGAGGAGATCGATGTGGAGGGACTGCCGATGGGGCCGGAGGAGGGGGTGGCGGCGGGGGTTGAGACGGTGGTGAGGGCTGAGCCGGTGAGGTTTAAGAGACGGGGGGAGTTTAGCAAGGGGAGGGGGGAGGGGGGTGGCGAAGGGGGTGGTGGTGGTGTTGGGCGGGGTGTGGTTACTGGAGAGGGAGATGAGGCTGAAGAGGTGAGGTAGCTGAAGTGGTTAATGGGGGCGATAATGTGAATTGGGCGAAGGGTTTGATTGCTGGCGTGGGTATATACAGACGCACATAGCAACTAGGCACTGATTTCCTGGTTGACCGATGGTTGTGTTAATACTACCTATGCCGGGTGAACCTTGATTGCCCGGCCTTCTCTTCGAAGCTTGAATTATCAATAACACTGTGCGCAAACAATGTACCCCTCTACGTCTGCTTTCATCAACGACCAGAGTCGGGTGGTACCTAACTTCCCGCCCGAGCGTTTTCCCTCGCCGCCTCTTACCTAACAACCTGAAGGTTCCTTCCCCATCAACACATCCCGCTCTTACCGCTCCTCCACCCTTTAGCACTACCTCCTTCCCTTAGATGCCTATACTAATCTCCTTTCCTTCCCAGCTTCCATCACATCAAAAGCAGACGTCAGCCCGTGTGGTGCAGTGGTTAGCATTCCATGAGGAGTTGGCCCTTCGAAGCGTTTGGATTTACAGAAAAAAACACAACACCCACAAAAACCGCTACTCATGGGGCCCAGGTTCGAATCCTGGCACGGGCAACACATCGAGACTTGACTTTTTGCTTTTCTGATGTCGATAGGTCTCTTTTGATGTCTATGTGCTTGAGATGATATTATGCCGGTTCACACTTGGTGCTCTTCATCTGAGATTACTCTGCTCTTGAAATGACATCCATGACAGCAGCCTGATCTCCAGGGCCTCCATGCTCGAATAAGCACACCCTCGACACCTTTCTTTAGGTAGTCAAGAACCGGAGCGAGCTCTTGCCCGCTTCTTTCTCTCTCTGCCTGTAACCTAGGGTACCTAACCCCTGAGTTCCTTCCCCTCTACTACACACGCTCCCCGGACCTTCCCCCAGATACATCAGTCTCCTATCTGTCCTGCCTTCCATCAAAGCAGAACAAAAGACAGCCCGGGTGGTGTAGTGGTTTGCATTCCATGAGGCGGGCCGTTAGAATTAGCGCTGGCAGCTGTGTTGTATTCCTATCCTGCCTCATGGGGCCCAGGTTCGATTCCTGGCGCGGGCAGAGCAATATCCTTTTGCTTTTTTTTGATTCAATACATCTGTGGCTATCTTTGGGTTTATGTGTTAGGTGTTGGTTGCTTTTCGAGAAGACAGGATGATTTGATCGTCCTTGGTGGATATTTGTGGCTGTTGTTGGTCTTGATTCCTACCTAGGTAATGATGATGCTTGAAGAAACACGCTCTCCATTGTGACTGACGCCATCATCTCCCTCCTTCTTGCTCGCCTCGTGGGGTTCCTTCCTCTTCAGAGGACATACACCTCACGTCACCGCTTCTCCCTCTTCCATATCATTGCCTCGTCTCTTCCACTTTTCATCGGGAAGAAAATAACACAAAAGTCCGCGTGGTGTAGTGGTTGCATTCTAGAGGGGGTAATAAAGGCCTGACCTAGGTCAGCCTCCACCTCATGGGGGCCAGGTTAGAATCCTGGCACGGGCACAGATAGGGGGTCATGATCTTTTGCGCTTTCTTTTGGTTCAGACGTGTCTTGGTATTTTTTTTGGTCTGGTTGTGTAATTCTCGTGTATGTGTGGTCTTTTGACATTCTGCTAATGGGTTTAATGGGAGGAGGTGATATGAGATGATAGAATCAGCAAAGTGTTGTGAAGGGTAAAAGCCAAATGTGAGGGTGAAGACCATTGTCTCGGGACGGTGAGGGTGGTGACACTGGCGACTCTACGTTTTGCTGTTAGGACCTGGTTATGTCCAGCGCTTCTGTAGCCTGAGATATTCCCCATCAACAGGCATAATACATCACAAGTTCTACATTGACGGATCCATGCCTACGACCTCCAGAAATCACCCACCTTCTTATCAACACACCTCCTTCATTCAGACCGTTGTCCCTAAACAACATCATACCCGACGATCTCACCCCAACTAGATCTGGCTCTCTTTCCCTCCTACCCCTTAACGTGACGCTCCTTCCCTCTTCCCCTTTCCCTCCATCATCACCCCACCCTCCACCAGCCCCCCCCCTCCTTCCTCCAGGCAGGGTATATCACCCTTCTTTCTTGCACAACTCGCCAACAGAAAGCCAAAAGCCCGTGTGGTGTAGTGGTTGCATTCCACGGGGTAGGGATGTAAATATTCTCGGATCATCATCCAGCGTTCGAATTACAGAAAAGCCAAAAAAAAAAAAAGGGGGATCCAACTTCCTACCTTACCCTGTGGGGCCCAGGTTCGAGTCCTGGTGCGGGCAGAAGCAGGTCAATCTTTTTTTTGGGGGGGGGGGGGGATTGGTTTGGTGGGTGTGTGAAGGGGGGTGTTGGGTGGTGTGGGGAAAAGGGGGTGGAAAGGGGGTGACTGTTGGGATTTAACGATAACGCGATCAATTCTGAGCCAAAGTGAGAGAAAAAGATATTTACCTAAGGCATCACGATGCGACTTTTGATGGTTGACATGATGAACTTATTTTTATTGAGTGGACTGATTTGCTGGGCGTTGCTCCTGACGTTTGAGTGGTACGGAGTATATTTATACATATCTAGGACAACCATATGGTATTAGAGCGAAGGTCTATAAATTCCTCGCGTGGTAATATCTGAATGGAAGCTGTGCATGCGAAATGTGCTGGTATAGGTAGGTACCTAGCTTCAAAACTTGATGTTCCTGTCTACATGCCTGGATATGGTAGTGTCTCGTTTCTGCCCTTGCCTTTCAACGGTTGACGAGCTCATCGTGCGCCTCTGTAAGCCTCCTTATAAGTGATTCACGCCCTGTAATAATAGAAGAGCTTCTGCCTTTACTGGATTCATACCCGTTCAAATGTTTCAACTCTTTCTCCAAAATTGTTTCGCCATTTGGAAGACGACCAGCAAGGTCAATCAAACGGTCCAACAATCTGGAAGCAATGTCCCACTGACCGGATCTGAGTGCCATCCCCAGTGGCGACTGATGTAGTTGTCCGTCTTCAAACGATCCGAGACTAAGGTCTAACCTTCGCGAATCCACAGCTTCATGGCTAATGAACACTTCAGCAACTTCCATGCGTGAGTATCTGATAGCAATACCAAGCGGTGTGTAAGCTACCCCTCGATCCCAGTTATCTGACCACCACAATAGGGTGTCCTCTGCGAGTAATGTTGTTGAATGTAAGTTAATCTTGTCGTGACACAACAGCCTCCGAACAGTTGCGAGGTGGCCCTTTTCAGTAGCCGCTGCTAAAGGAGTCCAGGGTAAATAGCAGTATTCGGGTCCCTTGACCTTGATGTTTGGATCCGCACCGCGTGCTAAGAGAATATCCACTATCTCCGTGTGACCCCGTGATGCGGCTTGATAGAGTGCTCTGGATAAGACCACAATGTCACCCATGTCTCGCTCAACGATTAACTTGATGAGATCCAGCAATCCGCCAGCAGCTGCCCACTCTAAAGGGTTGGTTGTCGGAGTGAGGTATTCCAACTCAGGATCGTTCAGCATCTCAGCGATGGCATTGTAAAGTGGCCTCGCAAGCACTATCTCCATTGGTCGAATTTCGGTGTTGAAAGCAAAGAATGTAGGATTAAGAATTGCCCGTAAAGTTTCCCAGTGTTTCCCGTCAACCAGGTGCTGTAAAGGCGATCGACCATGTGCCCCTTGCATCGTCATAGCTTCCATAAATGCTTGATCAAGGGAGTTTCCGTGATTGAATACACATTCCACAAATATCTGAAAGAATCGCGTGTTACCCTTCCGGCCAGCAACATGGAGGGCGGTATCATTTAATAGTTGTGCATTTGACGGTAGTAGTAGAAGTCTGAACCATTCACGTGGAAAGGCAGATTCCCAATCTGTGGTAGTGTTATCCAACTCCGAGGTGTCAGCAACGTCAGAAAGACTCTGCCGCGGACCGTGTTTCTCTTGTTCGTCCCAGGTAATTATTCCATCAAGTGCTGCTTGGCACGTCAGATCGAACCATCCTCTCATCAGTTCGTCAGGCACCCAGTGAGCAATTTGTTGAATCGTTGTCGTTGAGTTGACCAGGGTTGCCTTATGATGTCCCCGCTTGCTTTCTGCTATACGGTTGTTGTAAATCCATGTTTTGACTATGAGCATGGCAAGATCCGGACTCTGCTCTAAGATGATCCGAGGGAGCGGAGTCACGGCTCGCTCAAGTCGAGCGGTCATGGTGTCTGCTCCGGAAACAATAAGAGCTCTGGCAGTATCTTTGTCCCCCCACTTGAAAGCCCACGACAACGCGGTGCACTCATATCCGTCCTTGTCGTTTATGATGGTCTTGGCTTTTGGATTCGCCAACAATGAGGTGACCACGCGGTATCGGTTAGGTGCTGGGCCATCGATGGCATCATGAAGTGCAGTCCGTCCAGACTTGTCCTTGACAGTGATGTCGATGCCGCCTTTGGACAATGTTTTCACGACTTCCACAGCTCCAGATAGCGCCGCCAGATGTAGAGCGGTCTTTCCATGCTTATCAACCAAGTTGATGTAAAGTCCAGGTTGGTCCAAAAGCAATTCGACCACTTCTGTGTGGGATCCAAATGAAGCGACATGAATGGCAGCCTTTCCTGTATGATCCGTGGTATTGATGTTGGTGTGTTCAAGATATCGCTTGACTTCGTCGACGTTGCCGTCAGCAGCTGAAGTCAGCAAGGTCTTTTTGGCCTGCTTCGGCACTCTCGGTAATCTGAATGCGTAACGACTTGAATGACTTATGATGTGTGCCCGACGGGACCTGAGCTGAACGGCCATGGTGCTTGAGGTTTGTCTTGATGCCGGGATATATAGGTAAACAGAAGACGGCTCCTAGCCAGTATTTGTCGAATCCTCTGGAAGAATGGAAGCCAGAATCTTCTTGTCCAGCCAGTATATCTTGCTGTTAACAGACTGAGAGAGCTGATGAAAAACAGGTAATTAAGTGCCGGTCAGGTCAGCAAAACGGAGCTTGGCCCTCAAGAAATGGGAGGAAGAAAGGTTCCGGCGGATCACTCAGTCACATTGTATGTAGATGTTGGGCATCATCAGGTATTGGTGTTATGGCACTAGTTACTTGTGCGCCACAGGCCCTGTCGAAGCACGACACGTTGATCAGACAAGACCACTCATTATCGGCAGTGGGGCTGAATATTTCAGGCAGGGTTATGCTCTAGGCCATTCAAGTTGAGATTCAAGTTGCTTGCGGTCCAACCACATGCAATGAATTGGGTTGCCTGCTTACACAAGCGCGTCTGGCTTATACACTACTTGCCAATCACCCAGTCTTCAGTCCCCAGTCATTTCTTCCCACTCTTGGTTTTGCACACCTTGTGAGGATTTCTCCCTCGTTTTCTTATGTCACTTTGCCTTCCGACCCAGATCACGGAGCCTACTTATGGGATATTGTCATATTTTTGCCCAACACTACCTGCTTTATCATAAATCATGGACCAAGTTGGTTGGCAACCAAATCCTAACCGCCGCGGAACATTCGACATTATTCAGAGCTGTGCCATCACAATCTTTGCCTGCACTTGGACGGTTCAGCATCTAAACGTCCCTGGACATAATGATGGTGCCTTCAAAAAGCTCTTGCGCACATGCAAATGGATGGTTATCAATGTTCTTCTTCCTGAATTCATCTTGGCCCATGCTATTGTCGAGTTCATGATGGCTCTTCATACCATGGCAGAGATGAGGAGCTTTCAGTCCAAAAACATCATAGTTGCAGACTCGCCTTCGGCCAAAACTGTCTGGGGCGGGTTTAAATACTTCATCAACGCCTCCTTTTTTTCAAAAGTATTCTGTCAACATACAAACACTGATCTCGAGGCCTCCAAACCTGAAGATGATAGGCCATCCTGGACCATCACCCATGCATACTTTGCAAACATGGGGGGCTTCGTTTGTGAGTTGTCGTCACCATTAGAGAGTCCACAAGCTTCGAAGGAACCCACCAAAGACGCTCCTCAAAAGAACATGAGAATATTCACGCCAGTACTCGGCACCCATCTGGCCCAAAAGCTCGACCGATTTGAAAGACTCCGGGTCAGCGAAGATGATATTAAGGACAAGAGCAAGTCAGACAACTTTGCCAAGGCAGTTGCCATGCTGCAGATTTTACAGCTTTTACTCTCACTCATTGTGCGTCATATTCGGGGTCTTCCCTTTGCACAGCTCGAAACACTCGCCCTGGCAATCGCGGCCTGCGGCGTTGCCACTTGGATCGCATATTGGTACAAACCTAGAGCTGTCTCGGCCCCTATCAAGCTCGAACTCCGCCGTGCCTCAGAAGATGCCGGGGCAGTCAAAAGTCTAGAGGGGGTTCCTGAGAAAAATCAATCAGTGGGAAAAAACGTTGGCCAGAAGGAGGATGGAAATTCCGGCACCAACTCGAAAGGCAAACTCTCTGATGGATCAAATGGAATACAACTCAACGCGGAGCATGGGAATTCTCCCGAGGGCGAATCCAGCGAGCTTCCGGCTCACATAGACGTACGAAAAGACCGGGGCGATTCACAAGACGATGCAATCAATATTACAGAGGAAGATCCCAGCTCTGGCGCCGCAAACAATGCAACAGATAATTTCAGGGGCAATTCTATCGGTGAATTGAGGCAGAAGACTGGTTACCACGAGCTGGATTTGGATGACAAAGTGTTCGAGAGCTTTTGGAGTGTTCTAACTGGTGTACGGTATGAGAGAACTGCCTCTTTGCCTGAGCGAGTGCCGAACGACAGCATACCGACCCGCTCATTAGCTATTGGAGAAACGCACACTCTTACTTACGTCCTGGCTTTTACTTCGGCCGTGTTTGGTAGCTTACATGCAATTGCGTGGAACTTCCAGTTCCCAACACCACTGGAGGCGATGCTGTGGAAAGTTGGGACAATCCTATCAGTAGTGGTTCCGCCCTTAGGCCTGCTGGCGATCCCGGTCAGCCAGACTACCGTTTGGGATGGAGACCCGGGAGAGTTTCTTGATTCAACAATCGAAATCCTGGGCAGGATGGTGTGGGATGAAGCCTTTGATTTAAGTTGGGAACTTAGGGATCAATACAATCAGATACGCCGTGATCTCACAAGGATTCGGCATCTACACACCCCTCAGCCGAAGACGGAGTCGATGGTGCTCTATAGGACAATCTTTTGCCCTGAGAAAGATGAGAGCTCTAGGGACCGTGACGCACGCCTGGACACCCTCTTAAGGTATATCGAGGGCATCGTCGATGAGAAGCAAACTAAAGACGGTTCCAAGCACCCGGAAAGCGAGAGATTTACGCCTCAA